GCATGAGGCACAGCTTTAGGGCTAGGGCAGTCTACCAGCACCGCAATCAGCCAAGATCCTCTCTTCCATTTTCCAGCTCAGTGCTCAATTCCATATTAAACAAGCACTAGTACAAGTGGAGCTGCAGAACACGAAGCTAGACAATAAAGCCCTGGAGAGCAGAGGGAAGGCAGCTCCATCTACTTTGTCTCCCTCTGGGTGGAGGAGGCAAACAGAAGTTCAATAGCTGAAACTCTGTCCTGCTGCAATCTTGAAGAGAGCTGCAGCTGGAGCAGCCCATTGCTGCCATAAAACAGAGGGGGCATGATGCTCTCCCCACATCAGGGAGCAGTGTCCAGCTCCCAGTGGGCACATGGAATACATGTGAGTCTGCATCAAATCCACCTCTGCTTCCACCTCCCTCTTGTCCCCCTAGCACAATTTAGCTCCCCGGGCACTCCCCACTCGAAACTGCCCACAATTCAGCCCCCACCGGCCCCCAATTCACAGAACTCTCAGTTGCTGCCCTCTCCCTGCAGTCACAGGAAGCCAATGCAGTCTTTATCTGTTGTCCTTCTCAAACAGCATAGCACCTCCTGCATCCTTCCCTGTTAACAACTACGCCTTCTGCTTCATTCCTGGAATAGCTTCTAACTCTTTCCTTCAAGCCAGATTCATTAACCAGCTGCTGCAGAGCTGTTTGCCTCCCCCAGGTACTCTGTGCATGTCATTTGTTAATGACTCATCTCAGCCTGGGCTCATTGTAAAGACACCCCCCTCCTTTTGCGGCACTGAGCGCATTGCTGGCACACCAGGAAAGCCAGACATGCAAACAGTTCCGTTCCCTCCAATACCCCATTCCCTTCTCGGTCATCTCTTGCCATCAAGCACGGGACAACTCTTTATTCAAAGTGCTATTTCCTCCCCTGTTTCTTTGCTGATCAAAGGCAATGTGTATGGAAGCATAAATAAGATCACCCCCAGCCAGGCTTTGAGAACAGCAAAAACATAAGAACTCAAAAACTTCCAAGACACTACAGAAGTTTCAGCAAACTAATGTGACTCCTGTAACTGGCAGGGAATAAACACCAAAGATGCCAAATTCACAACTATTGCCCCAGCAGACTGTGGCTTGCCGAGGAGCTAAAACAATTTCCAAAGGCATTAGTATTCCTCCTGCCTCTCTGCAGGACTGATATTAAAAATGGGAAGGAAAGAAAACAGCTAGTGAGGACCACAGAACCTCTCCTCACTAGTCAAATCTAGTGAGGAACTGGATGACCAATACACTGCAGCTGCCCACATGGGAAGCCAGAAACAGACTCACTTGATCTCCATCACACAGATCTATTATACTTGGGTACACAAAGTCCACCTACACCTCGTGAGAAGCTGTCAGCTAAACACTGGGAGAAGCTAGTACAGAAACGAGTACTGCCACTGCTTGTGAAACAGTTCCCTGGAGACATAGGGGAAAGCTTCGTGCTCTGGGCTTATTCACTTAACATCCTTCACTGGGAATTTTTTGGCTAGCATTTCTAGGGGGGAAGAGAGCTTGGAAAGAATCAGAAACCAAGGGACTTGACCCAGAGGCAACTGGATGGGAGGTATTTAGATCCACCTCTTAAGATTAAAAGCTGGTGTGCCTGCACTGCAGAAGGACGGGAATTTACTTTCACAAGTGCACAAGTCCTCTGGCTGAGGACTGAAAACACGCAGATGGCAAAGAATTCTGGTAGCAATAAGAGGAAGGCACGTGCATTGCACAAGTGCAGATGACAGCCGGCTGCAGGACTGGAGAATTGTCAGAGTCCTCTGCTGAACAGCTCCTCTGCCTGCTCATGGAAAGCCCTTCTCTTTACAGCATGGAGTGAAGTGAAATGTAGGGGCCAAACCACAAAGCAGTACTCTGCTAGACCCAGAGGAAGGAATCGACTGGCCTAATACAGAGCCCAACTACAAAACTTCCACAATCAGGCATCAAAGCTATTTAGGCTCAGGACACTGGGCTCAGCTACCAGCTTCGCCACACATCCTTCTGCACAAATTTGGACAAAGATGAACTACTGACAAAATGGGAAGAGCACTTCCCGGCCTCCTGGATGCATCAGGGAGATTAGTCAGACCTTCTAATAATTCAACATCGAGAACCAAGTAAATCCTCAAGTGAACAAGTGCTGTTGGACTACAAGCCTAAAGCGGCCTCAAAGCCAAGAATCCAGGCTCTGATGTTAAATCAGCATTTTTAATTTTTTTTTCTAAAATGTGCTTTTTTGTGAATTGTTGTTTCAATGCCAACCCCATCCTCCCCCTTAAAAAAAAAAAAAACCACACTTTGCCAAACGGTGCAAATCACCTGAAGTTAGTCTGCAACAAATAAAAAACACAAAACAAAGGCTGAAATGCTTTAGAATCACAACAATGTACAAAAAAAGGGAAGAAAATACAACCTGAAAGTGTTCAAAATTCAGAAAAACTAGTCAAGTCCACTGCTTCAGCAAGGGGATGCTGCTGCGACCCCTGCCAATGGGTCCTGGGCCACCAGCCTGCCACGATGCTAAACGGGCTTTTCTCCCAAGCAGACCGCTGTCGCTAGCATCCAAGGAAGAGCGAACGCATTACCCTTTGAAGGTATCAATGAGGGAAACAACTCACAAGCAGCTCTGGGAGGTCACATCATACTCAGAAGGAACACAGTTTGTAGTATGCCCCTACCTACCTGCAAGAAGGAAGGCTTAAAAGAGCAGCCTACTTCCTCCTTATTGTATTGATACCTCAGAGATGCAGAACAGTGCTTTAAATCTGTGAGAGATTAAAGGGCTTAGTAAGGGCAGTAAACAGACAGTTAAGTAAACAGCCCAGCACTGGATCTCATCTTCACAGAGAGAGGTAGTGTGAATTTCACCCCAGTTTAAAACAGACAGGGGTAGCGGAAAGGCTGAAGACTTCAGTGTAAAGCAGTTCCTGGCCTAGAAACCTTTCTGCGCTTCCTTTGGGAATGAAAAGATCTGTGTTGATGGCTTCCTCACTCCCAGCCGGGCTTTGGTAGCCACACTTCAACCCTGGGATTCAGACACTTGCTATAAAAATTCTCCCAAGATCTGATTTAGTACAGCAGCTTCCTCAAGGTTAAGCAGCAATGAGACTGGCTGGGAGGGAGCAAAACTGTCCACAGATATATTTTTTCCTGTGCCACTTTTGGTTAGTCCCTCTCTTTAGAAGTCCCTCTTTACAGGGCCAGAACAGGGACACCCTGGAAATTAATAGGGGCTGCACAGTGTAACTTAGCCAGGTGCTGCTAACTGGGAGCTGTATTCAAACAGGGCTTTTATTTGCCAGCCTGGAAGGGACTGGCCCAGAACCCACTGAAAAAGGAGACGCAGGCCCTTTTTCGCTCCTCCTGTTGTCATTCCTAGCTGAATGACATTTAGATGGTATGTTCTAGTGACGGCTGGAGACCAGCCCTTTGACTTTGGACATCTTCTTTGTGGGCTGCCTTTGTTCTGTGTGTGGAGGGCACTCTCGCTCTACCAGCTGCTGTTCCATCTCCTGTGCCGACGACGAGGCTGTAGCTTTTAATGTTTTCTTTATGTTTGTGACCTGGCCAAGAAGAGAGAGTGAATCAGCACCTGCTTCTTCCTCCCCTTGCAGTTGAAACTCTGTTCATAAACATACTGAAAAAGCCCTGAAGTATAAAGCGGAGATTATAAAATAAACTCTCCCACCAGAAACATGCTCTGCATTTGAGTTTATTAAAGATAATGTTTCATCCTCACTTACAGCCAGAGTTATTAATATTTCCAGTCTGGATCCAATACAGAATAACTAGAGATTACTTTTTTTTTTCTCCCTAAGAGACAATGGCACAATATTGTACGACCTTTCTGGCTGGCTGGAGGGAGGGACCTACTACTGCCTTGGTGCACAAGGCAGCCATCCTACCATTATGTTGGACAGAAATAGGAAGGACAAAGAGACTGTGAAAGAAAAACTTACACTTAGGACAGCACTCAAAAAGGGAAAATGCCTTTTGGCCTAGCTGGCTGGCTGAGCCACAGATATTTGCTAGAAGCAGGAACAGAAACTGGTTTTGTGGGAGGCAGTAGTAGTGCTTCTGCCACTCTGGCTGAAAAGGAGGTACAGCACCAGGCACCATACTCTGTCCCCTGGAACCCTGTAGGGCTCACCAGGAATACAATGAGCAAACTTTAGAAAAAAAACACACCAAACACAGGCCAAAACAAGTTTGGGAGTCAGGTGTGCCCACTCCAGGCCAAAGGCATCTGGCAAACCAAGTGCGCTACTGGATGCCAATCAGGCCGCTGAGCACATGCTGCTTCAAACGGCAAACTTAAACCTGCAGGGATGCAGCGCTCTGCAAGAAATAAACCCTGAGCAAGTGTCTCGGGAGGACCATTTTCACCTTTACAGCTGTATTAGCCAAGATCCGTTCTCACAAGTAAATACACATCAGCAGGGGCTAAAATGGCGTTCCCGTGCTGCCATCTACCGCCTAGCTGTGCATGCAACAGAGGCAGGAGCGCCCAGGTCATGCTGCTGAAGAGCGTGTCAGGGCCCTGTCTGGGTGCTCAACTTGATCCCAAGAGAGAGACTCCGAAGGAAGCTGCTGAGGGCACTTTTTGCAAAAACAACAAGATTCAAGAGGTTTTTGTTAACTACGCTTTCAGGTTTAAGACAAAGTAAACTTTTTTCTTCCTGCCTGCCTCGTACAAAAGGAACAGAATTGCATCAAAGCTCTGTGTTAAAAGCACACTTTTCCTAACAAATCAGTTCAGGAAACCACATCTAGTGCAGCTACCTACCCTAAATTTATAAAAACTTATTAATGTCCTGGTTTCAGTTGGAATAGAGGTAATTTTCTTCCTGATAGGTGGCATAGTGCTGTGTTTTGGATTTGGGATTAAAGTAAAGTTGATAACATACTGATGTTTTTAGTTGTTGGTAAGCGGTCATGGACTGTCCAGCTTCTCGTGCTAGCCTGCCAGCGAGGAGGCTGGGGGTGCCTGGGAAGCTGGGAGGTGACAGAGCCAGGACAGCTGTCCCAAACTGACCAAAGGGATATTCCATACCATACGACGTCATGCTCAGTATGTAATCTGGGGGAGTTGGCCAGGGAGGCACCATGGCTCAGGAACTAACTGGGCATCGGTCAGCTGGTGGTGAGCAACTGTGCTGTGCATCACGTGTTTTGTATATTTTTTTATCATTATTATCATTATTATTCTACTCCTTTTCTGTCCTATTAAACTGTCTTTATCTCAACCCACGAGTTCTACCTTTTCCCCCACGTCCTGATTCTCTCCCCTGGTGTGAGCAAATGGCTGTGTGTTTGTTTTAGCTACCTGCTGGGTTAAACCACAACAATAAAAGAAAAGTTCCAACCTGCTCAGAGTGGGCAAATTTGACGTTTGTGGTGTTACTAGCACATGGAAGCAGATGTGTCTTTTTCCTACCCCAAATCACATCTGATTTGCATGATTGCTAGCCTGCTTCAGAGAAGCCATGACCATTAACCAGGTGTTATCAGGTGTTTTCTTAAGTAAACAAACATTTATCAAAAAGCATAAAGCAGTCTGAAGTGACTCTGTACCCACCTCCATCTCTACCTGCTGTTGAGTTCGGTGATGGTTCTCTTTGTATTGGTTGGCTCTAAGTACTTGCTGCTCAATTCCTAAAAGAACCGCTTCACAACCATCGCACCTGCAAATACAAACAATGTGAAACAGTGTTTACAAGTTCTCTCTGGAGCAGCTCAGGCAATCTGAAAAGTCTTGCTCGCCAAAAATTTTAGGAGATTATGAAATTTATACTTCCTGCTTAAGATTAGAGTTCCAAAAAGCTGGCAAGAAAAAACTTGGCTGTTTACTCAATGTACTTCACAGCATTCTTTACCTAGCCCATGTTACTCTTACTTGCCCATCAAAAAGTGCAGGTTCAATGCATTCAACTTCCTCTTCAAGCAGGAAATTTTCAAATAAAATTTTAAAATAAAAATTTGAGGGAAAAAACCCTCAGATTGAGAGAATTCCCCTGCCTGTTAAGTGTTCAAAAGAGAAAAGCACTCCTCCAACACAGAACGAGTAACTGGAGAGGACAAAAAGGGAATTGGCAGTGGGTTCATTGTTACCTTCCAGACAATGCTGTAAGGTCCTGGAAGCTGCCAGTGCCATCCCACTGTGACAGGATTGAGGGAGTTGGAGTAGAGAAGCAAAAAACTTGCCCCCACCTCAGGACAGCATATTTGCCCAGCAGTTTAATTACTTTTCATGCACTCATTACCATCGCAACTAGGAAGCTATTCCCAGTCAGCTCAGAACCTGCCACAGGCTCCACAGTCTACAGAGGAACTTCTTTGGGTGGGAAGGGAATCCTACAGAAGATGAGAAGCAGCTTCCTGGCAAAGGTACAAAAAGATAGTACCACAGTCTCAATATGGTTGCAAGCAGCCTGTATTTGCAGGAACAAAGAGAAGGCAAAGGCATCTGAAACTTCAGGCTTGAAGACATCCCCTTCAAAGAACTGTGATTCTCTAGAATTTGCCCATGCAGTTCTCATCACAGTAAAAAAGGCTGAAAACTAATGGACAGTTCTGGTTTTGTTATCAAGTGAAATGGCAGAAAGGGGAGTAGCTCCCACCATAAGACCATGAGTCCAGTTTGGCACGTCTGTTTGAAAAGGCCTTGACTCCTCGCTACAGTTCTGCCATGTAAAAGCTACAGTGAGAGCACAATCTCAAGACCTAGTATAGTTTGACTTGATATATAACAGAAACTGAATCCTAGATGGGATCTTTGAAAACTTGTCCAATAGACTACTCCTGCAAGTCCCTACTCTACAGCGTAAGACTCTTGATTAATGGAACATGGTGAAATTGAGCCAGCACTTGAAACCTTGAGGAATAAGAAAAAGACAGGACAAGCTATGTACAAGGAACAAGGAAGGTGGAGAGGCTGCCTCACCATTCCTGGAGTGTTTTGACAATGTTACTGATGTCCTTCTTCTGAATGTCTCTGCCGATACAAAAATCCACCTCTAGCACCTGGTTTCGTTGATCCAACTTCCCCTGGATAATATCTGTATAAACCGCTTCAATAATCAGATCTTCCAACTCCCTCAGATTCCTCATATCCAGGTCTTTCAGCAACACAGAATAGGGAATGCACTAAAAACAGCAAGTCCAAAAATAAGTTAACAATTCTAGAGCCAAAACGAACAGCTACATCTCAGAAGGTCAAGACCCAAATATTTATTGTATCCTACATTTTAACCTGCAACTACAGCAGTGACTATCATGGCAGAACAAACGCCTGCTACTAGACTACATAATATTCTGACTCAACTTTGGTAATTCCTGAAGCTTTGGCATAACATGTTCCGCAGGAAAAAAGGTAATGGGATTGTACAAGAAATTAAAAGCATTGATCAGTTTTCTCTAGAATAAAAAGTCAATGTTTTTAAGAATGATTCTCTACCTCCAGCAATGAGAGAAGCCATACAAAGTTTCCCACCCCTTACTGACGAATTTGCATGGCACTTCAGACACCCCCACACTTCAACCATGGGAGTCCACTAAGTTAATGTCCCAAATGCACCATAAGAGAACACTGTACATTACAGGTACTTTCTGAGTTGCAGGATTTTTGGGGAGTACTCATGCAGTCCAATATAACTTCAATGCTATGGAATTGATGCCATTTTCAAACACAAAAACAAACAAAAAGACAACTGCCATCATACACAGTGTTACTTCACCTTCATTCTGGAAGCCAGGCTTACAATTGTCAAGTGTTTCAGCTTGTTTTTCTGAGTTGCTGTTAATTCAGGCAGGTTATCTTTGTTTGCTGTTAATATTAAAAAGACAAGATTCAGGACTTTCTTTCAAGAATCATATAACCCAGGCTGCACAACTGCACACTAGTTACACTACACTAAACCCCAAAAGGCCAAACTCCTCCAGCTACTGTGGGTGCCAGTGAGCAGAGAGAGCTGCTGCTGATGACAGATTAGCACACCCGGGGAGAGACAGAAAAAGTTACAAAACAAGCTGGCAATTCCATTCTTCTCTGCTTCTTTAGTAATTCTGGTTTTGGAATTAGAATGTAATTCACATCTACAAAAGTGGTGTCCTGCCAAAACAGTCGGTCAATGCTTTGTTTCTACCATCAAGTCATTTTTATTTCATTAATGAGATGACAGAATAAAATCTTCTCCCTTTGCTGATCTGGTTGTAAATACAGATGGTTTTATTTCTCTGAAGAGCTGCAGAATTTAGGGTTGAAAGTGTGAAGTACCAGGCTGAGGAAGAGGGGAGACATTATTAATCTAGATACTTAAATGGCCTCACTGTCAATGTATCATATTCATGTACCTCATGAATATTTAAAAATAGAAAGGAAACTGGCAGCTATCCAAAACAAAGAATCTGCTTTAATGGAAATTAGTGTTTCGGGGCCACTCAAGTTCTCCCATCAATCCCACCTCATTCAATGCTCTACATTTTGATTACTCTTCCCCCTTTCTCCTTCTTCACTAAAAAAGGAAGAACAAACCACTCTGTCACATGCTGGGACACAAGACCCATGCACAGCAAACACATCCTTTAATCAGTCACAGATTTCAGGAGAGTCGTGTTGCTCCACAGCCACTGGAATTTCCAGTCCTTGCACTTACAGATGCCACTTCTCCTTACAGGAACTACATAGCTCATTCACCACAGTGATAGCCAGCACTATGACAGAATTATTTGTCACACTCTGTAATGGTCTGGATTAGGCTGCTACCCACAAATGAAGTATTAAATTGTGGCAGAACGGAAGCATAAGCACCAGAGATAAAAGCACATCTCAACAGATACTAAGATGATTCACACATAGTCCTTCTGAAGCTGTAAAAAAGTCATTATTTCGATGGTATTCTAGCTAAGAAACGCTTAATTTTGTTTCAGCAATGCCGTCACAGAATAAAAGGTTATCCCATAAACCATATAGGTTTTTATAAATAATGAAGAACAATTTTGTCTAAGTTTTCTGCAGCTTCTATAAGCAGTGACATCTAAATTTCAAAACAGATGTCTTAAATTGCACTTCACAGAGGTGTCAGTGAACATCAATGAATACTGCTACAGACCAATACAATCCAGTGCTGCAGCCCAATCCAAACCAGTAAAATCCTGTAGTCTCTAGCCTGGCTATAGCCCTTCCTTCACATTTTAGCAATTAAAAAGCACATATGACCCAAAGACCCCCTACAAACAATTCTCCTCCCAGGCAGATTCTGTTCTTGGACACTTTCACCTAGCCACACTAGAACAGGTACCACAGAAAGCAAAGAACTGCCTCTGACAATTCTAAAGGGCAACCCAGTCTCATAGTCTGTAAACAAGCTGCAGTCTCTTACCTACATAGTCTGGGTACGTTCCGTATGCAAACAGATTCAGCAACTGGAAATAAGCAGCATTAGACCCTTCAGCAAGCTGCATGGGAAGAAAACAAAAGAAATTCCATGTAACAGTTAACAGCCAACATGATACTGGTAGGCAACTTCTCCAGAGAATGTTTTAAGTCTACAGAGGACAAGCAGTACCCAGAAAAGCAATTAAGTACCGATCTTAAAAAGCTGGACCCTTTCTAAGACCTCATGAACAGCAGCAAATTTCAGCAGTTTCAGAGTCAAGATGATCCACCCATTTCTATGCACCAGAACTTAACTGCAGTTTGGACTGGCAACTGTTTTGTGCAGCACCTTAGGAGGTAAAAGAAAACGAAGACTCTTAATTTCAGCTGACATTCAGGGCCAGCTCTTCTCATCATGTGACAAGCAAGCAGGCAATGCTGTTGGTTGCTTAAGCATCCTTGCTATTACTGGGAAAACTAAAACAGCTTACCTGCAGAGCCACAAAAACTTCAAAGCAAAGGAAGCTAGCACATTTTAAGTTGAGTGCATTTGAACGTAACAGCACTCCCCGCACATGCAAACACTTCACTGGAATAACTGCAGCACCAAACAGTGATTTTTACTGAGTGTTTTTTTAATATCACTTGCTGCACACAGATCCAGGGAAAAAAACATACTTGTGATTTGATGATGAAAAACCAGAGGCATTTTTCAGCATATCTAATAGCCCATTTGGAAAGACAAACTTGCTGTACGCCACATTACCCCAGCTGCAGAGATACTCAACCTAGATTCCCTCATTGTAGTAGAGGGGGGTGCTGGCAAGGCATTCTTAGCAAAAGCTCTGAAACTTATGTTCCACCTTGCTTTGAAATGGTTTGGATTTGGTTACCACCCAGGCCTGATACACTAGACATCTGTTCACAAAGACTTTTGGAGAGCTTTAAAGTTATGCTTTCCAGAACAACGAAGGAGTAGAAAGGGATTTTTTCGTTGTTGGCTGGCTAGGTGCCTTCTTAAAATTGTTACTGTGCGGCTGCCAGGTTTTTGCTGTATTAGCAATCACATTAAGGTAGCAAAACTTTATATAGGTATTTTTTAACATCTAATATATACAGGCAAAAGCAGCATCGATCTCTCATAGACAAACATCTCAGAACCAAGATAAGTCACACCAGGCCCTTCCTGGCACAGAAATTTCATGCACAGGCTGTCTGTGGGAACTTTTGGGGATCCCTTATACTGGAAGAGCAGAAGGGGCATTAGGATAGAAACTCATCTCTTACCTCTTGCACATTTGTTAACTCCAATAGCTCTCCGAAGACATAAACCCCAGGAGCCTCCAGCACTTGATTTATAAGAGCAGTCAGGGCTGAGCCACTTGTACCTTTGGCGAGTAAAATAAACTGCTCTAGAAGATTGCAGGACGGTTTCTGTTCTCCTGCCATTCTAGGTTTTCAATCTGTCAATAAAAGAACATTATATTAATACATCCTTTCTCCTCTGATGAATTCTGTCTGGAAGTGGATCAGAAGGTTAAGCTCAGCATAGTAACGTTTTGGTGTCAGGAGAGCCAGGTTTTTCTTCAGCATTCAGAGGGCAGGCCAGGAACCCAAGCAGGTTCGAATGCTCATTTACCTGGGGAGCAGAAACAATTCACACAACACCTGAGCAAAACTTCGGCAGACTGGTCAGCTCCCTAAAAGGATCTACTCCTACTAGTAGGAGTTTAGAGTCCATGCTGTTTTCAGATTTTTCCTTCTGCTGATGCTGCCAAATAATGCCAACTGCACAGATGTTTATTATTACCTCTAATTAGAGGCCACCTAAGACTTCCTCACTACACAGCTTCAAAACAGCAACTAACTTAACTTAATTCTCTGTGAAGAATTTATCCACCTTGTAGGCCCACACATCACACCTTTTCCTTTGATATCAGCTATAGACAAAGCATGTGTATGTAATTCCTCTTGCTTTCTTAACCTAAAAGGCAAAAAGAACTGTGGCCTGTAAGTAGCTTACCAAGTCTACATTGTAGAGTTAAAGTGTTTTGGGTTAACTGGAAAGCTTAAGTGATAAAAATACCCTTTCTACAAAGGCTCTATTTAAGTCCCTGTAAAAAGAGGTCTTTGTCTTCAGCTGCTGCCTGACATTTCTGGTGTGCATGTTGCCTCCCAGCACAACATGTTGCTTTTGAAATGTAAAACGCTATTTATTAACAAGTTCAACAAAGTTATTTGTTTACAAACAACTAAGAAAAAGCTTCCAAAGCATATTAGTCAGAAAACAAACAAAGAACTTTGCAGATAAGGGTTTTTTTGTGTTAAGTTTGTATTGGATAATTCTCAAGTATAGCAGGCAACCTTTACTGTGGTGAAGAAAACCAGACACCAGAGAACCTGTCTCATTCTCTGTGACCACTGGGACCACATCTGCCCTCATGGTGGTGGTACAGTCACACAAGTGCTTGCACAGTTTTACCATGCCTAACCAAATTAAGACTTGTGAAGGCAGGGTAGCCAGCTTCCTTTATTAGTCAGCTTCTAAAAATACATTTTACTCCTTTCTATCAGACCCGCAGGTACAAATGGTCCTAATCTGAGCAGACAATCTTTTGCGCTCTCCACAAAAAGATTTCTCGTTCTCCGTGTAAAGTCTCTTTGGGATTCTTTTCATCAGTCACACGGGCAGCCTGACTGAATAGTACCTCAGTTTTGACTGAGAAATCCCTGCAATGCAATAACACTCAATGTGGCTTCCTAATACACCTGAGGGTGCATCAGTAACACACTCCCCACTCACAGATAAGGAAACAGACACAGAGGATAGACAATTTTCTCAAGACAGCGCATGAAGTGGGAGCTGGGAATGAAATCCAGACTTCATGGTTCCCAAGCCATTGTCCTCCTTCGCAGGTAATCAAAATGCACACTGGTGTATGAGGTTACAAGTCTGGCTACCTGTACACATGCCCTGCTAGGAAAAGAATGACAATTCTTTGTCCCTTTCCAAGTTAACATTCAAACAACTGCATTGCTATTGCAACCTGTCTGCACAACCGTGTCACCGGGACTACCTCGCTGCTCTTTCCACATCTGACTTACCCGGGTGAGAAGTGACTGAAATACACATGTAAGACACTTTCATGGAGCTTGCCCAAAGGCTACAATAATAACCCATCTGCAGTGATAAACCAGGCTTCTTCCCCCAGGCACGCCTTGCTGCAGCCTTTCTAAGGGACCTGACAGGGTTTCACGGCTGGAAGGGGCATGCAGACCCCGCATCAGGGAGGCGGGCTGCAGGGCACAGAGCCAGCCAGGCCCCTCGGCCCTCCCGTTCCCACAGACACCCGGTAGGGCCCGAGGGCCTCGCCGGGCCGGG